ATTTTTTGGCGCCCCGAATCATGGGATCACCAATCATAACCGTCAACCCTCACAATTTTCTTTCCCCATTCCCACCAAATATTATATTAAGTTTCTGTGGCTTTTAATAAAAATTAGGTACATTGAACTTGTTAAAAAAAAAAAAAAAATAGTTCACTGTACGAAATAGAGATGAGAGAATCTTAACATAATTAACCAAGTACATTGAACTACACAGTTCGAAGACCTGCTGCTACGGTTGGATCGGATACAATGTGCCGTTTCTAGTAAACATTACATTGTTCCTCTGCACTCTATACATCGTACATCGCACTCGGTACCTTTTACCAGATAGTTCATTTGAACTAGTTCCTTGAGCACCTATCCATCCCTATTGGAAATCAACGTTATCAAAATTCCAAGTGTTTCCTAGAACAATGAACTCAATGGAATTTTTCTCAGTTTGAGTAAATTGAGTTAGATAATTCGTCCCAGAATAAAATCCTTCATTGCCAGTTTTACAGTCGTGGTGATCTGTACTGAATTGAGAAATGCAAAAATTACTGATACATGTAACTTCTTTCCTCAATGAAAGGATTTCATCGACGATTTCGACACCGACCGTAGTATTTCTTGCTATGCCAATGTAATCATGAAAATGTAAACCACTTATGTAGAAGGCCGTGTCCTGAACAATAGTGATTATTGATAATTGTTAAAAGTTTGGGGTGGTATTTTGAGATTTGGAAGTCTCATAATCACAATTCCTGATTATTTAATTCAGTATTTGATGCTGCTTCGTAGGAAAAAGAATGGTGTAAGTATTATAGAGATGAGATCAGTCCTACATTCGTTTAAAATAATTTTATTAATTAACGTTTGATTAATTTTAGAAAATCTACATTAATTAACAGCTGGTTAATAACAGGTGGTTAAGATCTACTGATCTTAAGATTTAAGAACTACAGGTGGATCGGTTAAGATCTACAGGTGGTAAGTGTCAACACTATAAAATGAAATCGTTTTCAAACCTTTCTTTCCTGTGTTATGTACTTTATACTATTAATTATATAGTGGGTGAGTTATACATATAACCACTAAGTAGTTATTAGTCATAAACCCTTAAGGCACATTTAGAAAATGGATAAGCAACTGTCAGCCAAACGAGGTCGAACTGATAATTAACTTCATTTAGAGAAAGTTATTAGTTAAGTGACTCTCTAGTTTATAACCTGGCAAAATGTACATCTTTTTAATTGCACAATTTAATAAAATAAAGAAAGGCATTTGATTGTCTGATTTCTGTAGCCAACAGCTAATATGTCACTATGAGTCAGATCACTACGGGTCTGAGGAAAACTAGCACAATCATGAGATCTGTGAAATAAGAATGACCCTGTTGAAAATCTCATGGAAAATTTTTTTTTGTGTCACATAGGCCATCTGTATAGGTAGCATTAAAGAGTGATAGTGTGGGAAACTTGATCATGCAACTTGTATTCTTGTAATTGTTGTATTGTTGTAACTTGTTTAGCTTATGTTCTAAATACATGTTACGAGGGGTGTCCATCCCCCCAAGGTTGATGGCCCCCACCATGCTCCACTCCCCAAAAATTGTATTTCTCTTCCCCTCTTAAAAAAAGTGGAAGCGAATGTAGGATTAGACAAATCGTAGATGATATACAATTACATTTGCTGTGGCCTGTTCGATGATTTCTTCCTAGTTCTCTGTTTTGAAACTTGTCACTCCGTAGATTCCTAGTCTCGTCGAAATATGCCACCCTCGAAAATTCAAAACCCAGTCAAATGTGCTCCCTCAAAAATTTTGATGGCGCAACTTGCATCATGAAACCACCTTCTGGGCACTCCTGCATGTTACATGATGCACAATGAAAACAATGAGATACAGCTATTTATTGATGGAACCCTTAATTTTGAACATAAAGTAGAATAATAATTTTTGATCATTAACTGAAAGTTCACAAATATTTCTAGGCTCAATCAATTAGAAAATTTTACTTAAATAAAATTAAATATAACCTATAATAAATGTAAATGTTGTTTATATTTCCTTCGATTTTTTAGGAAGTCGGCTAGCAAGTAAATGTTTTTTATAGATTTTCAAAAATCAGATCTATAATTCATGGAGGCTTGGTTAGAATTATGAAGAAACAAGTTACATATAAATCGAAGGAGTCAAACGAGGAGTGAAATATATTCCCTAACTATAGATAATTGAAACTTATAAAAATAATGCCCACATTGCAAGGATACTACATAGCAAACAATGAAAAAAAAAATAATAAACACCAAGGTAGCTGATAAATTGAATCATGAACTGTTAAACAATAAACTAATTATTACTCTCAAATTATAAATTAAGACAAAAACATCTTAATATTAAGAGCATAACGTCATAAGTTTTATTAATTATGAAAATGTGTAACGGACATCTAATATTTAATAATAATAAAAAAGGTGTGAGTAATATCATTATAGCTCCTTCACTGAGGTGATGTTTCACATTACTTTTGTCTGGGAAACGTGAAGTAATTGTTTCATTAATGGATACTAACAGTAGTGGTTCCAAGATTTTATTTTGACGGGGTCGAAAGTTGTTTACATATACATATATATATATATATATATATATATATATATATATATATATATAAACAACTTTCGACCTATATATATATATATATATATATATATATATATAAACAACTTTCGACCTATATATATATATATATATATATATATATATATATAAACAACTTTCGACCTATATATATATATAACGATAATTACTTTATCGAAGAAAAATAAAGAAACTAACGAATCTTGAAGTCCTATTAAAAGGTAATTAATTACACGAACTATAATACTTTTAGAAATATTTTTTTTTTTTGTTTTATAAGACCGTTATGTTTTACCATTTTTGGGGGGAGAGGGGTGGTGAGGGACAGGGGACTTCAGCCCGCAAGATCTCCGTAGATCCGTCTGTTGTAACAAGAAAAAATTGAATAGAATTTTAAAATCAATTATGCTGCCAAATTTTATCTATAGTTTGATTTAGAATATTTTATATTTAATTTTAATATTTTTTAAGTTAAATGTATTTAATACAATTTCCGAATTTAATTTATCGAAATAATGAAGATGGGAGAATGTGTCACTATATTCTGTCTGACATTTTTGCCTTTAAAATATTTTAAGAAGGAAATTGGAATAATTTTCATAGATTTGAAAAAAACAAAAAAAAAAAACAACTGAATTTGCATTAATAAGTGCAGTGATACTGTTAATTAAATTAAGGTTTGCTATAGAAAAAAAACCACACAGATTATACGTAAGTACATCTGTACATACGTAAGTACATATTATCTTATCACTGACGGAAAGTCTGCGCCCCCATATCTCCAGCCAAGCATTCGTAATTTAATGCGTGTATAGATAAAAACCATAGTAATAATGACTATCCACAAAAATTTACTTCGAAAAAACTAATATTATAATTAATATATTATAATAAATATGAATTGTAAACAAATTTATATATTTAACACCGCCAATGTTGAGCCACAGCCTATGTTGAGCCACAGCCTGTCCTTGTAACGTCAGGATAATGATGCGTGAAGTGTATTTAATTGTTTTTTTTTTTTTTACAATTTTACGGGGAAAATACAGAAAACAGGACAGCAAGTTGGCTGAACAATCAATTGAGAAGAGTCTAAATATTTTTGAGTTCATCCCAGTGCTTGTACTCAAGCACCTGTGCAATAAGTGTTTTCCAAACACGGAGAAGGGGTCTCCAGCAAATTGTGCAAAGAATGTATGAGACGATCAATTTTAAAACTGGCTTAATCCTTTTTTACAAATATATCTATATAATATTATTTTTTACGAGTTCTAAATGTAATACGTGTACATCACCAAAGCAAAGTCTTATTAAAAAAAAAACGTCTCAGTCAACTATAGATGGACACGTGGTTTACGAGGTCAGATATCGCTGTCATATGTTTTCGGCTCTTGTAATGAGGATCCCAATTATAACCAATGTCTTTTTCAAAAAGTTATATCTTTTGGATTTAAAAGATTGAAGAGTGAAGATATTCTCTTATCGCACATAAGCAGTTGCCATTTATGATCAATTTCCTGTCTTATTTTCTCTTCAGTGGATATCCTGGTTTCGAGGGACAACTTCAGTTCGTATATTAACAATTTTCATCATCAATTCTTCGTTTTTCCTATCCTTTTTAGGCCGACGGCTCCAAAATATGTCTATCCTTTTTTTTTTTTTTTTTATTATTTCTGTCGTTGACAAATGTAGCAAGACTAAAGCTAAAAGCTACTAAAACTCAATTTGTTGTCATCGTCCCCAAACCCTTTTTCAGATCCAATACTTTGTTGTACTAGGACAACCTAATACTTTCTGTACCGTTGTTTAATACATAGGCATTATCATTGACCAAACACATTTTCCTGGATTCACCGCATTGCTCACATCAACTGACGCGTAGGGAAAAGATTTTTTTACTCTCAAACTACTCTATACTTTCCGCCATTACATTTACAATGATATACTTCAACACTTATCAATATTAATTGTTTGTATTAAAAAATAAAATAGAGTTTAAAGATATATATATATTTTTTAAATATAACGGTTTTGGGACGTAATGTTTAATCGAAATAAAGAGTGACGTTAACTGATTGATATAATCAAGATGAAGAGTTTTGTGTGATTAATTAAAAATAAATAAAAGTAATGAACCAATTGAGATAAGGACGTTTAGAATTTCGTGAATGATAATAGTAGATGTAGAAAAATATTTATTTACCAATTACCAAATCCATCCTCTTTATTTATCTAAAATAATCAAGGCTTTGTGTAATTAAATATTACAACACAATCATAACATTATTGGCTCTACATTTAGCTGGATACAATTAAAAATCATCGCACAAATGGCATAACCAATTTGGACTATTTTGAACGGTGTGGTTTTAGGGTAAACATGTTAAAACATTTAATTCCAATAAAATAAAAATAGTTTGTTTGCTAATTATAATATAACTAAAAAGTAATTATGTATGTATTCAAAGTATGTTCCGCTTTCTAATTTTAGTAAAAATAGGTCTACACCTGCCCATCAAAGGTTATCTTAGTAGCCGAGAGCTTACAAGCACAATTCTACCTTATATCGAGGCGTCATTAATTTAAATTAAATTGATTATAACATTTCTATGCTTTCTTTGAATAAGCGGTAAACTCGACTTATAACGAAAATGAGTTAGATTCACTACTGAGTTTTAAAAATATAATACTGCAAAACTTGCTAAATTAGGAACGGGATTGATCGAAAGATATTTCTACCTTAAATTAAAATATTTACAGAAAGTATTTCGTAAATAGAAATTTGAAACTTTTGTTTTGGAAAGTTTTAATTTTTGATTTAACCACCTATTTATCTGGGATAGAGATAATATATTCTACATATTTTGTTGATACAGGTAGGAATAAATAAATAAGCAGTAGGTAAACATTACATTATAATTAATAATTATTTATAGAAATTTATAGCCTCCTTCTGAAAAAGTAGTTTGTTAAGACGTTCCGTGCTGAATGAATCATCAAACGCAACTAATATTTAAATGTATATGGGGGAATTAATTTAAAAAAAATATTTACAGTAAAATCAAAATCTTTTTAATTGTTATCTTTATCATATTCATAATTTTGTGTTAATTTGTTTTTGTTCCATAATTGTATTTATTATACTGCATTGAAACCATTTTATTTTATTTTTCACATTATTAAAACACAATGTTTCGTCGGATCGTACGTAGATCAAACGATCAAATCACAGGATTCTTCCAACATTTTTAGTTTCTACTCACAGATAACAAGACCTTAGGTTTCTCATCTCTATACCCTTTTCCACAGAAATAAAACCGTCCAACGTTCCTTTCTTGGCCGCTCCTCTGCCTTCTGGAATTTCCTGAAATGGATATTATGTCTCTTCTCTATCCTCATTTAAATGTTTTTTTTTTTTCAATATTTCTTCCATCTCAATCAGATGGTTTGTAATAATGAAATTATAATTTAAGAATAGAATTTTGGTAGAACTGAAAAATAGTGCTCTATCTTTTAATATTATGAATCAATTCATTATATTTTTTTCTTTTCATAATTCTTTTTTCTTTTTTTTCCATTACAAATTATTTTCAAGAAGATTTTCTCTCCTTTAAGAATACAAAGCTGATTTACCTTCGTAGCTGGTTATGTTTAAGCTTGTAAGAAGCTGAGATTTGATAATGAGGAAACAATAATTTACATGTTAAGTTATGATAGGAAAAAATCCAAACAAACACAGTCGTTTGTCTCCAGAATATAGGCAAAGAAAAAAACACTTCAACGTTTCGCTGATTCAGGACAATTGCATACTCTAAGTATAGAGTGATGCCCGATTTGCTTTTCTCTTCTGTCCTGATGATGCCTGAATTTGTGAAACGTTGAACGGTTTTTTTTTTATTTGCTCGTATTCTGGAGACATAAGGCTGTGTGGTTTGGAATTTTTCCAATCATAACCTAACATTTATATTTTGTCTCTTGTTGAGTTTTGTACTCATTTATATCAATGATTTAGACTTATGTAGTCTATAATCGCTTAATTGGGGCCTAATGGTTTAATACCACACGAACTCAGTTCCTCATATTATTTCTTATTGCATCTCAAGTACGACCCTACCAGATAATGGATGAATTACGAAGAAAGCATAGGTCATATAACAAACGTTTTAAAATTATTGAAAAAAAAAATGAATATATTTTAACGAAATCAGGCAGAAAATAATTTACAAATACCAACAACCCTCAACTTGATTATTGAAACCAACGCTTAGTCCATAAATAAAAAAAAAACATTCACAACATGGAACATTTATATTCAAGAACCAGAACATATGATTGTTGATAGTAAGTTTTTTTTAATGTTTTAAATAGAAATATTAGTAAATATAATACCGAAATTTTAATAGAACGAAATCCTTAATTATTTCTTTTTACAAATAAATATGTTTTTTAAAGGGATGCAAGGGGATGCAGCTGAAGAGGAATCTTCTGTGGATATTCATGGACTCAATGAACCTGGTAAAATATCAACTGTATATTTGAAACTATTTTTGTATTATTTCCGAAATAAGTTAAATGACGAAGATAGATTTTTATATGTAAGATAACTTTACTTAGATTAAAAACTTCATTGTGCGCATTAAGTAGGTAAATGTATGAGAGGTTGCTTATTCATCCATCTTCTATTGGCAATTACCAGTAAGGTTTTGTTCGTCTTAAATTTTCAAACTTTTTTTTACCGTTGGCTCACCCTTGATACTGTGCATAATCGGGAACATTGAACTGAAGCTCTGATTTGACATTAGTCTCATTTAATATATTCACATCCACACGGTAAAAGACCTGTAAGGACAATTTCTATGGAAAAGGAGGTTTGAGATTTTCTGATCAATCTTGACCTGGCGCATATTCTGAACCCTCAAAATAAAATCTACGGTGTTTCATTTCTTCTTGATGACCTTTTGTAAAGTTCTGTAATTTAAAACCAGCAAATTGTGATGTAAAAAACTGCAAGTTACAGTGAAGGTTATAGAGATTGAGTCGTTACCGAAAAAACGTAATTAAATGCTCAATAAAAGGTGGTCATGTAAACATAGATATATAAAGCAATACGATAAACTATACAATAAAAATACATTCAGTAAATGTGAACAAAAGAATATAATAACATGAAATCACTTGATGAGAAATTACCCACTGGTAGTTCTCTAAAAATATATTTACAAAAGGAGATCTTGAGGCCATCTTCTTTTCAGACGCCTCGGAGGGTTGTTAGGGATCGAAGAGGAAGCAAGGTTAGAAACAAGAGGGTTTGGATGGTTCTGAAATTTGTTATGGAAGGATAGGTATCTGGATTGGGCCAGGTCAGAAACATAATAAACATTAAGGTCGACATGGATGATTTTATTTGTGACAAAGTAAGGAGCACTGAGGATTTTACGAAGGATTTTGGATTGTAAGGATTGGATACGAGAGGAATTCGATGGCTTAGTGGAGCCCCAGAGCTCAGCTCCGAAAGTCCAAATAGGTCTTATTGTAGTCATGTATATGAGTCTTTTGTAATTGACTGGGAGCTTAGAGCGTTTGTCTAATAAGTGCTGGAGTAGTCGGAAACTTCGAGCGGTTTCTTGTCGTTTCAGTATGAACTCTTTCTTTAAATTCCTCCTAAATTAGCGGGCAATTCCAGCCCGGTGCCTCTGGACAAATGCCTGGGTTACCCCGTCCTGAGACCAGCACTGCTTACCATGGAACTAGACGAAGCAAAGAAGAGAGTGGTAAGTGGGAATATAACATCAAACGTCCTTCAAGACAATCGAAACCTCCAAAATAAACCTGCAAAATGAGCTTGACTGGAACAAAGCTACAATGTCGCCGAATTCCAGATAGTGAGGAACAGAGAATTAATTTCATTAATCCAATAGATCTTCAAAATCGCGAGAAGCTCAGAAACAAAGTGATTTACACATCAGCAGATTACCTAGAACATAGAAGCATTCGTAAACCAAACCATATGAAGTTATGTATGTTAAAAACGAAACGTTTTAGACTACTCCATAATGGAGCGAGTCTTCTACAGCGGGAAACAAAAAAGTAAATACCCCAGTTTAGCGATCAAATACTCGATTTTGGTGTTTGTATATTTTGAAAATTGACTTTTTGCCAGTCATGATTTGATATCATAATTAACAAAGTTATGGATGTTACTACAACAAATTTTATTGCTTTACCTAACCAATGCTGTTTTTCAAAGTAATTAAAAAGCTATAAGTTAGAAGTAATGGCTCTAAAAGATTATTGGCAGAAATACGATAAAAAAAGTTACATAAAGCAATACATCTTTGTCTTAGGCCAGCAAAGAAAAAAAAATTTAACCGAAGATATAATGCTCATAGAACAAAAATAAGCAGTTTTTTGTCTTCAGAAAAATTTTAGTTCTTGTTCTTATAGGATTTTGCAGTGCGGCTGTCGATATGTTTTATAATAATTCTAGACAACATCCTTTTCTTCAGATATGCTCCCACTCAGAATACTTGAATTTAGTATGATTCTCTTAGAAGATAGGTTGGTGTACCTATTCTATAAAAAACATAGAATAAGAACACCAGTTATTTTTCAGGAACTACAGTGATCGTCAGTAGTTATTATTAATAGTGTGCCACAGTGAGAACTCTCGCATTAGATAGGTATCTTTTTTCCTTTAAGCATTGTATTTAAAGTAAGTGACATCAGCAAAATATGTTTATTCGTATATGCAATATAAAATTATCAAGATGGTTCAATTTAACACGCATAAGTGAAGCTACATACTTTACCACGACTGTTAAAGTTTCGATGTACTTAATAAGAGATCATATTGTCCCAATAAGGAAATTATCTTTCAAGTTTAACAGTTGAGCGTCAAGGAACCGGAACTTACTCGTTTATTATTTCACTATTGCACTCGCTCAAGGCCAATTTGTAAGGCTTACGTAAGTAGATAACTAATATCCATTAAGCTTTTCATTACATTTTTATTTCTTCGATAGTATCATAACAAGCTATATTTTAATATTTAAAACCTAAACATGTTATAAGTATCCCACGGCAACCATATCACTTAAATATGCTTTCTTAAGAATAATCGTTTATCTCGTAAATTGTACATTTTCCAGGCCTTTAAAACACAAGGCCAAGTTCCAACGCAGCTCTTCTAGGCTTTGATGTCCGCGTCAAAACCTTTTAAGCAAAATTTATTACGTCTTGATCCATCTACTTTTTAAATCATTTGTGTTTTAAATATCCACATTTTTTTGTTAAAACATTTATTTATTGAATAATATTTCCAAATTATTTTAATGACTTATATAAGAATTATAAAATTTAAGGATTGAAATTGGAATTCGTCACTTCTCCATGAAATGTCCATTTCCTATACCTCATTTATCGAAATCACTCCTGGGAGCCTTTTATTGCAAAAAGTCACGAAGTGCATTTTTGATGTTGGTTAACTTTCAAATATTTTTTTATGAATTTTGACTTTATTTATCGATACCTAAATACCGTAAGTTCATGAAAATCACACAAAGTGTTTTATGTATCAAATATATAAGTTAAAAGTGCTAATTTTTCTGATTTCATAAAGGGAAATTTCATCATAGTTCTCAGTTATTTCTCAGTAATGAAATGTCACTCAATGACTTTTTGTAATAAGCCGACGATATAGTGTAGATTTAGATAAGATAATCTTATCTTATTAAGATTCAGCCATCATATATTTATTCATACATAAATACAACCATAAGTCAGATAAATGAAGTTGTTGAAGAACTCTATGAAAAATTAGGAGTTATAACGCATACCGTATAATTCAAATAACATCATGGGTCCTGTGACTGGTGTACACATTCAAACAGTGGAGTTTATATGATCATGAACCAAATGGGTTAGGAAGGAGTGTGGGGATAAAAAATACTAGTATCTTATTTGGAGAATATTTCAGAGGATGTTGGAATTTCGGTCTCCAGAGTTATTTCCCTTAAATATGGAATATTGCTAACCATAAACTTTTTATGAGCTATTCATTTTCTCCCTTATATAAATATTTCGACACTTCTTCTCAACGGAGAAGGTAGAGAGATATCTGCCATATTAAGTTTTGTACCGCCTTAAATGACATTGTCTTGTAGGCTCTGGTTGTCTTCTAGAAGAACCACTCTTCGGGTCGACACCAGTCTGTTCCTCTGTCGCGGTGGTAGGTCCTGAAGGAAGATGAATGTTTCAGAATACCACAAAGGAATCCTCTTTAGACGTGGTGGTGGGATGCTGTTTTTCCTACATCTTTGTATTTCTCTCTTGTTTCTCATCAACCATTTCATTTAATTTCTTAACCACTGTTTCAAAGTTTGGAGAGTTTGCTCAGTTCCCTTTGACAATCAGGAAAATTATATTAAATGTAAAAATATATAAATCTTAATGGTACGAACTAGTTATTCTCGGAAAAAAGGACTACCTTTAATTTTTTAATAAAATAAGGTAAATGCAAATAAAACCAGAAACAATCCCAATACAGAAATCTTATGCAAAACAAGTAAAAAAAAAATACTGGAATTAATGGTACAGCCATAAAAGTGGGAGTAATTTTCGGTCAAAATTTCAACACGCTTAAGGGAGTTTTAAAGCTTTTAAAAGTTTTATCCATCCCTATTTATCCTTATAATTAGGATTGGTTGTAAGCGACAGCGGGGGGGAGGAGGGAAAAGGGGAGGCACCTTGGAAAGGATTCAGAGAATCGATTCCTCTTTTCCTCCGAAATTAAAATACTTTTCATTCTTGAATTTCATTTTTATGCTAAAAAAAGGGGGCGGGTGGCCGAGTAGGATAACGCACCAGATCACGGCAACCTTATTAATTGAAGATAATATGATAAAATAATTACGAGTTCGCGTCCCGGTGCCGAGAGGGCTTTTGACTTCTACATCAATCCCCTTCCTTTCCCCTGACGCAAGAAAAATCCCGTATAGCCTATAAGGCGAGGAAGGGAAGAAAAACAAAGTTTACAAAACATACAACCCAAAGACAATTTTTAAGTAGTTTTTTTATTCTTTTATATGTGTTATTTATTTCCTTCGAATTGGGTGAAGAGTTTGAGAATTGGTATGTGAAATGAGCTGGTGCTACAGGGTAATAATTAAATCATGTTTAATATGTTGTCCGAATAATAAGGAAAATACGATTTAAATGTCAGTATGTTAGTAGTCGTAATTTCTTTCTTTTTTAAATACTAAATTTACCATAACTAAATATAATACATACATTGCTTGATGATGTGTTTATATTATTGTCAGAGGTTGCGGGTAACTTAACAAATCCTTAAGGTGAGTGTTGACATTCCACAAACTATGGGACAAACAAATATATAAATGATTATTTCGCTATGCTAGATTTTTTTTTCTTGTTTTTTATATTTTTGATCTGCTGTCGGTACCAAGAGAAATAAAATAAATAATTAAGCAATATGTTAAGTAATAATGTCGCTGTTAGTTAAATTAGATAATTGTGTTTTCCATGGTTAGAATAGAAATAGAATAGAAAAATAAATTTATTCTGGGACACAGTCCCTTGAGAATAACAAAATAAAAAGATTACATCTGGCCAAAATAAATCAATCGAAAAAAAGAAATAATGTAAAGACAATATAAGGTAAACATTCTATATACAAAACAAACGAAACTATATACAAAACAATTAATACTATGACAAGACACTTAAAAATTATTTTCACTGATATACCGGTATACACTCTTAAGAAAATAATAAAGAATTAAAAAATAAAAATATATCAAATTCTCTATTAAAATCAGCTCGATCGTTAATTAATGGTTCGTCAAAAGTCTAAACAATCTTTAGGAATATACAGCAAATTAGTCACTGAACGCTTGTTTAGATTATTTTTAGAATGTACAGCACTAGCTATTCATAATTTACAACATAGGTGTGCACTGAAAAATTATTATTTTAGCTTTTATAAAATTATATGTAATGAAATTACTAAATTGTGATTTTCTTTTCAGAAGATTCGGATGTGATGATTCCACCTTTCAGGCTCTATGATCTCAGGAATTCAACAGGTAATATGTTGTTCATTTCTCAAACATGCTCATCGACAGTCTATACGCTGCCCCTTTAAACCATAATAGTTATGATGAAAGCATTAAGCTAAATTTGCAACTTTGAAATGATATTTAACTAAAATAATTATTGAGAAGAATCCATTAGAACTGTTGAAAATTAAAATGCACATTAAGAGAGAAATACATTAATATTCTAATTCTATTTGAAATTAACGTGGAAGATTACAAAATGAACCAGGACTATGGCCATATTGATTTTATTCGATCAATAGCTAACAATTCAAATTGAGGTCAAAATGATCTAGTTTATGAACGCTATATATCATTGCTCAAGAATTCAAAAAAGTCCAAAAACCTAAAGTTTCTTAATATTAATATTATTATATACGTTTCAAAATATACAAGTGCCACTTTAGATAAATCACGAAGATAATAATTTGATTAAAAACAAAAAATAACTCTTGATTCATTGTTAAGATTCCATTATAAGTAAACAATTAGATTCCTTTCATTATACAATTGGATTCATCAGAATAAATAAATACTTGCTGTATTTAGTCCGTGGTATGGACCTCTTTTTATCAAATTATTAACATCCGACTTAAACTTAGTAAATCTTCATCTCATCGTAACCTACAACTATTTTATTTACGAAAACTGTTGCTATTTGAACGTTTTTAATCTGGAGGGAGGCAAACTTTGTCTATTTAATTAGCTACTAAAAACTTTAAATACCAATTTCTTTTCTACTTGGATCGCAAGATAATTTCATCACAAAATTGAGAAAAAAAGGTGACCTACAAAAATATTGGGTCGTTTGTCCTATATAACCTCGTTATTTTGAAAATTTTGGGGTGTAGGTAACGTCAAACGGCTCAATATTTTTGAAGGCCACCTTTTTTCTTGATTTTGTGATCAAATTATCTTACGATACAAGTAGAAAGAAAATGAATATTTACGACTTTTTAGTACCTAATTAAACGTACAAAGTTGGTCACCCTCCACATTGAAAACGGCCCAATTCCAAGATTTTTCGTAAATAAAATAGTTGTAGTTTACGATGAGATGAAACTATTTACGAAGCTTCAGGCGGCACTCCATAAAAAGCGGTCTGTACCACGGACAAATTTATTAATCACGCTTAACCGCCAGGTTTTCTCCTTAATTAATTATTTAATTGAGAGTACCCACTCTCTAAGAGGCTGAGTGTGCCCAAGGAGGGTCTCCTGACCCCATGGTCGATCCACGGCTAATGAAAAATTACTAGTCATAAGCCGGATTCGAACATTGAGCTCTGGAAGTCAGTGCTCACCTACTGAGCTACCAACTCCCCTCCACCAAATTGAAATCCCACAAAATAAATTTAGTTTTCCTTCCAAACTGTATCACCCCACAAAAATGTGCCCACATCTGCAATTTATAATCCTTTGAAAATGTACACCTCTCAAAATTTTAAATCTCTTACCTTTCTGTCCCGTGCCCGCTTCTGGCCACTCCTGGACTGTTTGTAGATAACAAGGATTCAGAATATTCCAATAATATTCTAACAATTAATTTATATCTCTTGTACTTTTTCATAGTTTTTGTAGTTTTAGTAATAATGGGATTTATTATGTTTGCTTGTTTGTGGTTTAGTAGGGCGTAAAACAGTCAGATCATCAACACCTGTTGCTTTATTTGAACTTGGGATGTGCTGGTCATCCACTATTCCGAACCCGACAGAGCACTAAGTTAGAGACGTTCTCAGACCCGAAGAGGTGAGACATACGGTAATGTCCCATACATTGAGTAGTAGTTGCTAAATGTAGGGAAAACAAAAATTTATCAGAGGATGTGGATGAAAACTACCTACTCAACCCTAAGTTCAGTAGTACAATTATATAAACATGAAAAAGTTCAAATTCTCTCAGATCATCGAAACTAACATGCTCTGTAGAAATGACTAAGCCCCCACAGGATTTGATAATTATTGTAGATTATAAAAAAAAATTTAAATTAGGTCGGCGATTGTAAAGTAGAATAAATTTATAGTTCTACATTCCATTGACGGAAATTGATAGATTATAAAATCTACTTTTGTGTCTGGCAAATATGATCCCATTTTTCATTCCACTCTAAGAAGACCAATCGATATCACCACGGAACTAATCGTGAAATAAAAGGAAAACCTATTAATCACATGAAAATATAACCAATAGTTATAAATCATTTCAATATTAGGCTATTGTAAAAAGAAAAATTCTTCCGTAGCTATTCTCAAAAATACTAACAGCGATTAATAATTATCTAGTTCATTTAATAAATTATAAAATCGATTAAGAAACATCCATAAACAAACTCGATCGGAACAAAAGGACAATGCTCAGATGAAGACCGCACCAAAGTTATAAATATTGTCATGTGATAAATATAACTTTAGCCAATTGGAAACGAATAATGTTGCTATAGATTTTACACATATGTTAGATCTAATTAGCATTGAAAGTGAACTGCTGAATTATTGAAGTTGAACTCAGACCATCATTTCATTGATATCATCTTCGAGGAATTGTAAATTTATCAATGCAAAAGTTCAAAAACAAATTCCTTTAGAACTTCACTGAATGAGGATTAGACTAAAAGGTTCGTATTAGCAAATATATTCCCTATCTATATAATAATTTAAGTCAATAAAAAGTAGGATAATTATGCTATATTTCTATCATAATTCTCACTTAAGCATGTTTGTGTGATCTTCAATTAAAGCTAAATTAAGGGAATGACGAGGTCCACAGAATGATTTTTTTATCTCTTCTTCAGAGGAATGGTATATCTAATAATCTGATTATTTTACATTTAGAATCATTCTTGCAAAAGCTCCGAAGGGGAATGGATTCCATAGTCTAACTTATCTTAGATTCTTTGATTCAATTAAACATCTTTAAGAGCGGGACTTTGTCTTGTAATTATGAAGAACAGGTAACACGAAAAAAAACTTATCTCGAACTTAGTATGATAATAAGCACTAATGATAATTGGAAAAGTAGTATTTGCTACTCAAGACTGCAATATATGTATATAGAGAGAATCACTTTATTTTCATAAAAGGGATGCTGCCCACTTATATTGGGTTGTTACAACACAGCATACAGATAATTCATTATGGACAATTTTTAAAAATTAATATATATATATTTTTTTTTGTCTTCTTTTTTGACAATATCATTCATTCATTCATCAACATTTTACTTCCCTTTTCAACCCTTATTCCTCATATGTTCTCCTCTCTCTCTTCCTAACCTAATTCGTACAAACACATAAAATAAAGTGGACATGTTCAATAAATAATATAAAAATATTGTAACACATGCATGCCTTCCTCCCATGAGCAAAGCACATGGTGGTGGATGAATGCCAGGGAGTCCAGGATTATATTTTCCGCTAACTTTGTCACATCTTTTATGTCGACACCAAGGCCCTCCATGAAGCCCTTTGTTGAGTTTGGTATCGTTCCGCGAGCTCCAAACCAAAGGTCTCTCACGTGGAACTCTCTCGACCCAAAACTGTCGGAACTTTTCATTAATGAAAGCGATGCATTTCTCATAAGCTTTTTTTCCCTTTCCACTTTTTCTGTCTGATCAAGGTCATTGGTCTCATATCTCACGGTAGGATCCAAAATCGCCGCCTTGCCGATTTAGAGAATGCTACTCAAGTCGGCGTATCGGATGGATCCATCCACATCTCTCTCTTTTAGGAGTCTCATCAGTTCATGTTTCACTCTGTGGTGACGGCGCGTTATAAGGAGGGCGTATTTTTCAAACAGATGGCTGTCTGTTGCATTTGCGACAGATGAACCCAACTTCTCTTACCTGTCCGCTGACACCTGGGGGATTCCACGATATATATATGAACGTATGTATGATTGCTTGCTATAGAATTTTGACCTCCCTCAGAAAATTACATAAAGGGCTTCCAATCCCGTAAAAATGTTATTATCAAGGAGAAAATGAGATGTGTGATATGCGAAACTGTATATTGCATTATATTTTAATTGTGTTATATCTAGTGTTGCCCAAATGCAAGACCAAGACGAGTCTGCGCAAGAGTCTCGCAGTTACCTATTGGATTATTACCATAGAGATGTTACAGCACTTTTTTAGATATGGGTAATCTAACTAAACCAGAATGAAAAATTGAAAGAGTTGAAAGCAAAAGTATATTGTTTATACCAATTCTTTACATATAGTAATTAAAATTGTCAAGTATTAGCAAATATTTTCCCTTAATTTTTATTCACAAAAACTATTTTTTTTTTAATAGTCTTGGTCTTGGTCTTGCAACAGTCAGGCTGTCTTGGTCTTGGACTTGCAAGACCGATTTTGGGTAACACTAATTATGTCGCTAATTCCCTAACAATATTTTTTATAAGCAAGGCGGTGGTATCGGCTCGACGAAGAAAATGTCCCTAATTCAGTTGGTTTATTAATAATATATTTTGTGAAATTGTTTCAGTGCTGTCGCAAGATTGATAAACCACTTCATTCGTTGGTGCCAAAATGTTTAAGTATTTCTCTCTCAAAGAGGGAAATAGGCTAACTTGCTTGTTTGGCGAGGTATTTCCTGAATCATCTCTACCTGTAGAACATTTTTAGGACAAACAATTTACCTAAAAGTATTTTAATTCATTACTAAGCAAAATTGAGGATGAGATGGTTTACAGATCTAAATATTCCATTTATTTTTTTCTGTTGGCTTGAAAAACCTTGCAGATCATTTGCCGCCGGTTCGAATAAAAAATAAGGGGTTTAGTTCTATTGGAAGTCCATGCAGTAAATTGAACTTCATACCCTAGATAGAATAAGTTATCTTTTACAATCAACTTCCTTCCCGCCCTGCTTGGAGTAAGTATAAACGTGAGTAGTTAAACCCAAGTAACTAAAATATTTAATCTTTAATAATATGTTCAGTCACTGAATCTGTATAACGTTGACAAAAAAACTAGTAAAAATTTTATAAAT